CCTAAACCCTCAAAGGCCCTAAAACCTAAACCCTGCAGACAGGGCTTCTATGAGTTGGTGGTTTAGGGCCTAGGCCAAGAAAGCTTGCCGGCAAGCCTTCTTGCGTTTCGCGGTGCTCCATGGCACTNNGCCTTTGAAGACGACTTCCACCTTCGAAGCTGCTGGTGTTTAGACTTTAGGGAGCTTAAGGATTCGAAAAGGGTTCGATTCTGTCATGACTGTCATGTTTCCATAAGGGTTCTGCAAGGGCTTCAGTCGCACAACGCACTGTCAATGCCGATATTTGTACTCTTATCATCTGTCTCAAACTTCCTGCGAGTGCATCTCCAAACGGATGCTACATGCACAGCGGTCTTGCAAAACCAAATTACGTCTTGCCTGGTCAAACGAACTCTGGTTGTCTCTGTGCTTGTCTNNTGCCTACCTGCCTGTCTGTCTGTCTGTGCGCCTGTGCGGCCGTGTGGCTGTGTGTCCGTGCATCTGCGTCTGTGTGTCTGCATGCCTGTGTCTCTGCGTGTCTGCATGTCTGCGTGTCTGTGCGTCTGTGTGTCTGCGTGTCTGTGCATCTGTGTGACTGTGCCTGTCAGTCCGTCCAAGTCCGTCAATCGGTCAGTCTGCCCCGTCTGCCCCGTCTGCCCTGTCTGCCCTGTGTGCCCTGTCTGCCCTGTCTGCCTGGCTGGCTGGCTGTCTGTCTGTCTCCGTCTTGTCCGTCTGTCTCTGTCTCTGTCTCGGTCTGTCGGTCTGTCAGTCTGTCTGTCTCTCTGCATGTCCGTCTTTCTCTGGGTGTCCAGGAGTTCAGCCTGGCAACCGCTTCCAGAAATCAAGCTGCAGCGTCACTGGGACTGTGTCCAACGATTCTACCAGCGACATCGTAAGACGGGACCCAGCTTCCTGTGCCTGCAACTTGTGTTGGCATGGGGCTGGCATGCTCCACCACTACTGAGTAGCATATCATTCTTCTAATAATGACTGTACTTCTGGCTACCATTCATTCTGGTCCACTCTCTTTCCGTAGCCAGCCCTGCCCCCCCCTGCCTGGCTGCGGTCAACCCCAGACAGCGCCTCACGGAAGTGTGCAGGGCGAGGCTTCCGATGATTCGGGATCTGTTAACAATTGGAGCGGGTATCTGGGGTATATGATATTTGCAGCCCTTGCGTGGCAGTGCTGTAAAAGCACAGCTCCCACATGCCTTCGAACCCTGAGCCTTTTCGAACGCAAGAGGTGCGTCCTACGAGAGTTCCACATTGGGCATGAAGAGAAGAACCATGAACAAATAAGCCGCGCGTGTACAAAGCAAAGTAGTCGTTGCGTTGCTTTTTGTTTCCACTGTTTGTATCGGTTTCATTCCAACCAGGAGTCTCATCATGATTCTTACTGGCATGATCATCACCACTACTACCAGTGAGTATTATCTGCATAGTTAGTGTGGAATACTCCTGCCTGCCATCATGTTTGCCGGCAGTGCCGATATGGTTACGACTATCATAGTTTTTACTCTCCTTCTTAGTACCGTTCCTTTCGTAATTTGATACAACCCGACGTCGATACTGCAGAACATCGAGACGACGAAATGCAAGAGTGGGAAAACCGCGTCCGGACCAAAAAGAACCCGAGAGCAGAAAGGCCCGTCAAAGTATTACCACGAGTAGCATAGCCCATTTTAGTACTACAAATACGATCATTGTACTAAGCTGTTTATCACATAACAGATAACACACAATAACAACACCGACTGCAGGAACATCCGTACTGACAATGTCTGTAATGATGATACCAATTGCTTCCACCTGTGCCAACCCCATTCCCAGGGACGAAAGTGCTACGTGGGTCCACCCCAGCCGACACGAGAGCTAGCCTGCGGGTAATGTGGGGGTTGGGGCTAGGGATTCAAAAAGATTTACGGTTTCGGGTCAAGGCGTAGGAATGGTGGCCGGGCAAAGTTCAATAGATTGCCCTTTGAGCAGATCTCCAAGGAGATTTTTTGATTTCTGGACTCCAAGTTTGCACGCGATTGTCGGCTGAAGGGGGCCTAGACTTTCGGGTTTAGCGGTTTAGTGTGCAGGGTTTATGGGGCTTAGGGCTAGGATTTACGTGTTTGGAGTTGAGGGTTTAGGGTTTAGAGGTGTGGAGTTGATGGTTGAGGGGTTCAGGCTTCAGGGTTGAGGTACCCTGAAGCTGTTCCCGGCCTCAGCCAAAGCTGGGTCGAAGTCTGTACCGACGAAGTCAAATTGCCCGCAGAACGGCACCTGCTTCAGGCGCGGATTTTGGAAAAAACCTAATCGCCCAAACCCCTAACCCCCGAGAACCTAAACCGCTTTGAATGCTAGCTTCGGAATGAGACGACAACCCAGTCGTGAGCTATATTACTACTAGTGGTATGTTTACCACGGTTCTCGACGTTGCTTTTTCAATGTCATGACGACTATGACCACTATCATTACTGTCGTGATCGTGATGACTATTGTTGGTGCTGATTATTATTACTACAACGCCCAAAACGTGGTGCCTTCACCTCGATGGAGTCCATGAATTTGCAGAAAGGCGTTTCCGGAGCCTGGTGAAGGGATATGTCGAAGCTTAGGGGTACCTTCGTATGGCGGCCCTGTTTTGCTGGGGCTTCTTATGGAGTTTCATAGCACAAAGGGCTTTATAAGGCTTATGAGCCTCATATCTCAGAAGGCCCTGAAACTCCCACTTCTAAACCGAAAGCCCCACTAGACCAGCTCAGCTGAGATCTGCGACGTAGAAAGGCCTTCTGCGGGACAGCCGTGCCATTCGTCCATTCGAAGCCTAAGACCAATTCAACGAGAGTTTGAGGGTTTAGGGCGTGGGCGGGCTTAGGACTTAGGGCTTAGGGATGGACTACTACGATCGATGATTGGTTATGAATGTTCTCATTGCGTATCTTGGTATGTCTATGAATATTGCCATGAGAGTTCTTATTACCAGCACTACAAGTACCACTAGTGTCACTAGCAACTAGCACTACGAGCACTACGAGCACGACGAATACTGCTACTACAACGACGATAAAGACGGATTCTACTTCTGCTGCTGCTACTGCTACTGACTGCTGCCACTGGCGTTGGCGATATTATGCCAAGAGGCTGCAGTGGCTTGGAAAGTCGTTCACATACCTGGCTGACGAGGACTGCAAGCGCTGCAAGCTGGACACAAGAGCCCCCTAAGTTGATGGTTCAGGACTTAGGCGTCAGAGACTTGAGTCTAAGGATTGGGGCTCGAGGCTCTGGGATTGAGGCCACAGGCCCTGGATCAAGAATGCGGAAACTCTTGCAAAGATGCGCGCCTCTCTTTGGCAGTTCCCTCGTGCTTGTCCTTTTGATTCAGGCAATTCTCCTGCCAAGGAGCAGCAAAAATCGAGGATGGCCGGACTCTTTGAGCTTCCTAAGCCTGGAACCCTTGCGAGGGCCTCCCCAGCGAAGCTGCAGTGGTTGGGCGGGTGGAAGTCTTTGCTGGCGATGATCGTAGCGCCCGCAGACTTGGTCGGAGAGGTCTACAAGATACTTCTGCGCACACAGGCAACCCAAAAGCATAAAACTGCAAACCCTAGACCCCGAAGCTTACCCAAACCTTAAACCCGAGACCCAAACCCGGGCCCAGACCTCTCACTCGGAAACAAGAACCACAATACCAAGCCAAGGCACTGCAGCCTTTTGAATGAGCTGCTCCGTGTTCCTGGCAGATCGCCAAAAGAAACTGCTGCTTACGATTGCGAGATGCGAGCATGATCACCCCATTGTTGTAAACACGAAAATACAACCCCTCAAACGGGAAGTTTCGAAGCTGCACCTCAGATTATGTGCACTCCGAATGCTGCACCAAGGCAGCTTCCGAGCATGAAGCTCATCCAGAGCCTGAAAAGCTCATGAGCCTCCACAAGCTTCCTTCGGTTAGTCGCCATAATCCCAGGCAGCAGCAAGGATTTCCATGACTTCCCTGTGCCCGACTGATTTTTTTTAACTCCACACAACCTAGCCCAAAAGTCTTGAAAGCCTAAACTCTAAACCCCTCAGCGCTAAGCCCCTAAATCGTAAAACCTGAGACCCTGACCCGGAAACCCTTAACAAACCCTGAAGACCCTTGCAGACCTGCCCCTGTGCCAAAGACCCTGCAGAAGAACCCAGCCTCCGAAGGTTCCTAAAGCCTAAAGCCCCCTGTAAACTGTAGGAACAAAACCAAAAGCATGCAAAAGCACCAACAGCCTAAATTTGCCCTGAAGCCCAAACACCTGTAAACCCCAACCCCCACACCCACCACCACTCCGTCTGTAGCGAAGGCTCCTGAGGAAAGTGTCGCCGCCAAAGTCCCAACAAGGCTGCCGCAAGGATCCCTGAGTGAAGTCCTTGGCCATCAACTTTTACAACTGGCTTCAGAAGGTTCTGTTGTGGTTCATGAGTCCAGGAGGGTCTGCAGGCCTGGTCCACACTACAAGGCTCTTACAAGAGAATTGGTTAGGGTCCGCGACGGGTGCGTTGTTGAATGAAGGCTTATGCGGGTGTTTAGGATTTCGGGAACTTTAGGACTATAGGTTTTAGCATTCTACGGTTTTACGCTCTAGGGTTTTGAAAGCTGAGGACTCGACTTGCTGCAAATCGATGACCACGAGAGCCGTCGTGCTGTCGAAGAGTGGTGCGTTGATGCTCCTGGGACAAGAGGGGTTTGGGTCTGGGGTTTCAGGGTTTCGGGTTTGCAGGTAAATTGTGTCCGAAGCAGGCCGCCATTTCAAATACATCACACTCACAAAATTCACCACGAAACACCCCAGACCGAAGCTGATGATGATACCACAGCACAGAACACAGCTGGAAGTCGGAGACGTAAAGCCTGGCGAATCATCCAAGTCTCAGAAGACGAAAAATCGGCCAAACAGCCAAAGAGGACCCTCAACCCAGAACCATGGTGTCCCCTTGTTGTGCTTCACCGCGCTTTCGAAGACAAACTCGTCGTAGTCTGTGCCCTGACTGCAGCAAGCCCTCGAAGCTTGGTCCTGACATTGAAACGTTGACCACTCTGAGGTTTGGGCTTTAGGGAATAAGGCTTACGATGTAACAGTTTAGAGTTTCGGGTTTTGGGAGTAGGGTTCAGGATTAACTCTTTAGGGCTCAGGGTGTGGAGTTCAGGATCCAACAGTTTAGGGCTAGGGGTTAGGGTTTAGGGTTTTATGGCGTGGGGTTTATAAGATATAACAGTTCGTAGGGCTTGGGATATAAGAGTTGACGGAGTATCCCTGAATCATTGGACGCTCTGCGTGCTCCACCACTCTAGTCTGAGCACAGAACGAGCTGGCACACTCTGGCAAGGGTCAGTCAACCTCCGTAAATTGTCCTCAACTTCGCCTGCTGCCGGTTTAGCGTTTAGGTCGTAGGGTTAGGGTTTAGGGTTTAGGGTTTAGGTTTTGGGTTGGTAGGGTTATGGTTAATCCTGTCCGGCGACGGCAGGAAAAACAATAAGTGATTTTTAAGGTTCGGTGAACTCGCTCAAGCAAGCGGACCCTGAATCCCAAGAACCCTGCACCCTAAACCCTAAACACTAAATAAACCGTAAACCCTAAACCCTAAAACCTAAACCTAATGGTCCCGTGCACCTGGCGTCACAAAAACCTAGGTCCTGAATCGCCAGGATCGCGCCAATGCGGGCACCAGGGTCCTCTTCAGTTCGGGGGGTTTAGGGTAAAAGAAAGTGTACAGAAAGTTACCAAGTGCTACGAAAAGGGCTACTCCAGGCTTAGGCTTCGGGGCTTTGGGGGAGCGTAAGGCTCTGCTCGGCCAGGCGTCTACAAAAGCCTCAAAGCCTGAACTCCCAGCCTTAAATCCCCAAACACCCGCAGCAAAAGGGCCAGCACTCAAGGCAATAAAGCCCTGAAAGTCCTAAACCGTGGGAACACTCAGATAAAACCCTTAAAAGCCTACTCTACTAAAAGCCCTAACAGCCCCAAAAGCCCTAAAACCCCTAAACCTCTGTGGCCTCTACCGCTTGAAGTTTTCGCAGCTCGGCTTGCACTGACACCTGCAGGATCAGCAGGGTTAAGGTTCAGAGTTTCGGGGTTCAGAGCTTGGAGTTGAGGCTTCAGGGTTTAGAGTTTAAAGTTTAAATTTCAGATTCAGGGTTTGGGAGTTTAGGGTTGATGGGTTTAGGGTTCGGGTTTTGAGTTTCGGGGTTTCAGGCTTGAGGAGTTTAGGATTGATGGGTTCAGGGAAGAGAAATAACACCAGCATGTTCTACGCATCCCTTAATTGCGCTGTACGCCTTAACTCATATTCATGGAAGATGCTTTGGTAAAGGGCCAATATCGGGCTCTCGGGGCACATGCAACAAAAGGGATTCGGGGTTTCAGGGTTTCAAGATTCAGGGCCAAGAGTGTAGGCTTAGGCTTCAGGTTTCCGGAGAGGTAGAGAGATTTAGGGTTACCCTAAACCCCAAACCCTAAAACCCTAAACCCTAAAACCCTTTTTTGTTTTCGGCTTTTCCGGGTTTAGGGGCGCCTGGCAGTAATCGCTGCCCCTGGGGCTGCGGCATGGGTCGGAATCCTGAGCTTCATGGGCTTGGGACGTTGCACCCTGCATGGGGTTTGGGGCTGAAGGTTGGGGTTTATACGGTATACAACGGTATACTATAGTATAGGTTTTGGGAAATCAGGCTTGGGGCCCTATTTAGAACAGAGATGTGTCGAATTGGGAGAGTTTGGGATTTGTTAAGTTTTAGCCACTGCTTGCCGCGCGACAATAACGTAGCCATCAGCATCCCGATCCAGAGAAAGCCTTCCCGACTCCTGGGCTCAAGGCTGGGTCGGATTTCGATCCACCCTCATTTAGGGACCTCAAGGATTAGACTAGGGTTTTTGGGGGGGTTGTTACTATGATCATAAGGGGACAACAGGGCGACACGATGGCTAGCTGCATTAAACCCAGACCTAAACCCAACCCTACATCTGAACTGAACAACACCGGTGCTTTGTTGAGGTAGGCACCGCGTGCCATTCAGATGCGCATCTCCGTCAACCCTAAACATTCGCAAGACGGACATGTAACGCGTACATTGCCGTGTACATCGTTAAGGTCGTTAGACTCGCAGTTACGGATTTCATCGGACGACAAGCCGAAACCCTTGCCACACACCACAGACATGACCTGACACTTTGGACAGACAGCGTCTCGTCCTCGCGTTCGCACAGTTTGGTCACAGTCCGGACAGCGATGGAAAGCGATTTAGCGTGTCAGTGAGGTCCTTCTGCACAGCTTTCCGAAAGCAAAGGGGTGCAGGGAAAGCGTCTGATAGGATCAATGCATCGAAGTCGAAGTGACCGACAGATAGACAGATGGAAAGACGGACAGACAGGCAGGCAGGCAGGCAGACAGACAGACAGACAAATAGACAGACGGACGGACAGACAGACATACACAGACAGAAAAAGATATGGAGAGAGAGAAACATTGATACAGAGATACATGCATGCACAAATGCATAGGTAGATAGGATAGGTAGATAGATAGATAGATAGGTAGATAGATAGATAGGTACGAAAGACCTTTATGTATTATTTGGCGATAGGCTCTCTGTATAGTATACTGATCCAGACCACCGCCTCCAGCCCAGCCCCCCCAAATTAAATTTTATAAAATCCTTAAAATCTTTAAAGTTTAATTGGCCGCCCAATTAAA